CCATTTGGAAGAAGGATTAGCCTTGTTTTTCAAGGCCCCAAAGTTTAGAACTAGGTTAGTAGTGTGGAAGTAAGAAGAGCACTTGCCATTTCTTACCCATTTGCTGGAAGATAGCCCCTCTGCATATATTCATTCTTTAACACATTGACTGCACACTAGAATAAAAATAATTTTTCCTTGGGGCCATGGTGTTTTATTACAAAAATAGAATAAAAAACTTCAAAAACAAAGATGGTCATTTCTAATTTAATGAAAAATTTGTTATTTTCTGTGCATGAGTCATATGCAACTTGAAAAACAGTTCATGCCACTCAAGGTAAAGAGACGTGTGAGTTACATATGCTTCGTAAGGCCCTGGGCTCAAAACTAGTGTGAGTTAAATACAACTCACATGGCAGTTAATGTGTTAAACCCCCTGAGCAAGGTGCAGCACTGTGATTCTCCTTCTTTCACAAGTGAAGAACAAGAAGGAGATCAAGATAGCAACCATGTTATTACAGCTAGTAAGTGGAAGAGCCGTGGTTGAAACCCAGGTCTGTCCCATCCCAGGGACAGTGTTCCTGACCATTTTCCTCCACTGCATGCCTGTTGGTAGATTTCTAATCAACATAAGGGAAAATTTCTGGGTAATTAGAACCTCCCCAAAAGGGAACTGATATTCTCTGAGGGAGTGAATTACCATCACTGCTGGACCCTGACAGAGGTGCCGAGTTGGACTCAGGCCTGATGACCTCATAGTCTCTTTCTGCCCTAAATTTTATTTTCTTTTTCCCTGTAATCCTAAGAGAAACAATTTATCTATAGATTAGTAGTCTGGGAAGAGGAGAGTTGATGGTGGGTCTAGTCATTCTTTATCATTCTGTCAACCAGAATTCCAACATGATTATGAACCCAAATCTCATTTCTCTAAGATACTATTTATATTTCAGTCATTTGCGATAAATTTATGGACATACGGATCTGCAGAAGAAATTATCTATGGCTTTAAAGCGTAACAGTTCCATTAGTAAGTGAAAATTATAATTCTATGCATATATTAAAATAAAAGCAAGAAATTTTAGGAAATTTGAAGGGGAGAACAAAACCTTATAAAACCTTAGTAATCATTATTAACATTATATATGAACTGCTTTGGTATCTTACCCTTGTGAATTCTAGTGAAAGGTGAGAAAAGTGACCATGCTTTTTGGAAGCAGGATCAGAGCTGCACTAGGCTGACTGAGGATGAAGATGAAGGAAGGGGAAAGGGAAATCTTTCCTGTTCTCTTGAGTGTTCACGTTCTTCCTCCCTCCCCCCATTTCTACCACCCTACAATTACAGTTCTTAAGAAAACCAAGTAATGGAGAAATAAAAGTTCTTGGAAAATATTTCTAGATGTGGAAATTTGGATCTGACACCTTAATTTGTTGATTTATTAGTTTGTTGATAAATGAGGTCACATGGAAAAACTTTCTGTTTGTTGGTTATGCTGGTGGAAACTTTTCTGAGCTCTAACTAGCTGACTTTTTTGCTTTGCTAGAGGTTATTTACTTTCAATAACGACGCATTAAGTTTCTGAATTTAGACATGAAAGAGCAGTCTCTGGAGGGCTCTAGTCCAAAGAGAGCGGCTATATCCATGAACAGGTTCTCATCAGATTTTCTGAAAGGGTGCTCTGTCTGTTAAGGTTAAGTTAATCTTAGCTTACTGCTGTCCCTGTGTGCCTTCCACATCTCTGTGTCTAGAAGGCATGCCGGTTCGCATTCAAATCTGCTGTATCAATTTTAAATCCAGTTCTCAGTCCTTAGGGTATTACATAAGAATAAGTTAAAAACAAAAATCAAAGAAGTTTTATGTGTCATGCATCTGAACTAACTGGACCTGATTTCCTGTGGGGAAAATGAATAGCCAGGCAGACCACATTATAGTTGCTTATTAAGGACAGCAGGAATGCCTCCCTTCCTCCTAAGCAGGCATTAGGAGCCCCCCAAGTGCCAGTCACTGTGCTGGTATTATAGGGGTACCAGGATGTATTCTTTGTTCCTTCAAGGAGCACAGCTGTAAACATCATGCTGTGAGATTCATGCCATGGCAGAGTTGAGCCCAAGGGGATTCAGCAGCTCAGACTGCTGAAGGGAAGAGAATCCTTCTCTGAACCAAGTCTTAGAAGATGCCAAGGATGTTCACAGCAGTAGCCAAGGGCAGAAAGATAAAATGCAGCTAGTTCTGCAGGCCTATATAGGTCAAGGCTCTGGAGAGAGATGACAGCTGAAAGGTGCATATTCCTTGCTAAGGAGTTTGGACTTTATCCTGAAGGCATTAGGAAGCCTTTGGGTGGTGTTAAAGGGGAGAAGATGAGATGTGATTTGTTTTTAAAAATATCACTTTGCTTATAATCTAGAAAGTGGGTTGGCAATAGGTGAGCTAGGAAGCAGAGAGACACTGTTTAGAAGATGAAAACATCCAGGCGAAAAATGAGAACTAAGGAGGTACCATGGAGTTGAAGAGAAAAATATATACCAGAGACTTATCAGGGAGGCAGGCTGCAAGGAACTTGGCCATGAGTGATGGCCAAGGAGCATTGGAGGGAGGCATCAAGGAAGTCATATCTAGGTTTCTGGCTTGAGTAGATATGTCACCTCATCAAAATGAGGCTTGGGGAAAAAGTAGCCACATGGGCTTAGAGAATTACGGGGGAGACGATGAGTTCAGTTGGGGGCATGATGAATTTGAGAAGCTTCGGGGCTGTTCAGGAGGGGATGTCCAGAAGGGTTGGCCAGATAGACCTGGCAGGAGCCAGGCAGGAGATGCCAAGGTACAATTGTTGGTTTGTCCCTTTGATGTTAGGAAGACAATTTGGCATCATTAGAAGGATTTGGGGACTCTGGAGGCCTGATAATGTTATATTAGCTTTCTTGAAAGCCACACTAAACAAGCATAACAACTTCTATTTCAGGATCATTTAAAGTTGGTAGACATGGGAAATGTACTAACATGACTTCTAGCAGAGTTTAGCGAAAAACTGTGGTCCCCAAGGTAAACTTGGGTTTGTTTGCAGTATTGTTCTCTGTGTGCCCACTTTTCTTTTGGATGTCTCTCCCAGACTTCTTGAAATCCTGTGGTGAGAATCTCAGTTACTAGACTTATTACATCAATATGGAGGGGGGGGGGAGTCACTTTATTAAATATTCTATCTTCTCAGTAGTCCTGCAAGGTGTTACTATTAATAGTCCTATTGTACAGGTAACAAAACTGAGCATTGGTAACTGGTTATAAAGCTTACCTTGCAGTAGGTGGCAACATTGTGGGTAAAGTTACAGACTCTAAATCCCATTTTCTTTCTGCTACACAGCACTGACTTAGAGTAAAATAAACCAGTCCTGTTAAATCCTTGCATGAAAGTTACCAGTGTTGTTATTGAGGAAAAAATGTTCTATGAAAATGATGCAGCCTCCCCGAGGTATTTACCAAGAACAACACTCTCCTCAGATTGCCCCAAACTAATTTCACTGCTGCATCCACTACAGCCTCTCTTCCTTACCTCCTGCCAAGAGCAGTTAGACATGGAGCTTCTGGGGGTGCCCTGTCCACCTAAGGCTCAGCCGCTAGGGCCTTCCTTATAATTTTCCCCCTTTCCCCAGCCTTTTTCTCTGCCTCTACCCTTGTCCCTACCACGCCCCACCCCAAGCAGCCAGAATGATCCTTTGGTTTAAAGCATAAGAAAGGTAGCCCTGCCTGTAATCCTACCACTCTGGGAGGCCGAGGCGGCCGGATTGCTCGAGGTCGGGAGTTCGAAACCAGCCTGAGCAAGAGCGAGACCTCGTCTCTACTATATATGGAAAGAAATTAATTGACCAACTAATATATATAGAAAAAAAAAATTAGCCGGGCATGGTGGTGCATGCCTGTAGTCCCAGCTACTAAGGAGGCTAAGGCAGCAGGATTGCTTGAGCCCAGGAGTTTGAGGTTGCTGTGAGCTAGGCTGATGCCACGGCACTCACTCTAGCCTGGGCAACAAAGCAAGACTCTGTCTCGAAAAAAAAAAAGGAAAGAAAGGCAGCCCTCTGCTCAAAAGCCTCTGATGCTTCATCTCACTTAGAATATAAGCCACGGCCTGCAAGGCCTTGTGCATTTTGGTTTTTGGCTGCTTCTGTGACCCTGTTGCTGACCACACTCACTCTACTTGAACCAGGGCTGGTAAACTTGCTGTTCCTACTTCCTGCATTGTTTGCCCAGGTATTTCTGACTGACCCCCTCACATCACTCAGATCTCTGCCTTGGAGACTTTTTTGGGCACTCTGTCTAAAATAGCAGTCCCCATCATGCCCTGCTTCATATTCTGCCTTATTTTTCCTCATAATACTTATTTGCTATTTGTTTATTGACATCGCCTCATGTAAGCTCTGTGAGCTCGGGGGCTCTGTCTGTCCTGTTTCTGCTGCCTCCCCAGCTGCTGGGGCAGTGCCTGGCCCACAGTGCGCCCCTAGTGGCGTTGGTTGAATCATGGAATGAACACAGGGAAGCTGTGATCCGGGCAGAGGGGGACAGGAAGTAGGGTCACCATCACCAAGGGACCTACAGTAATGAAACAGAAGTGTCCTGGTCTCTCCCAACGTTAGGTTAGCATTGCTGGTTCCCCAACTGTAAACAGGCGTCAGGAAATTTGTGCACATTTCTCTGAGTGAGAACCAGGTTTATTGCTCTGATAAGGATGGCAATGATTTTTCCTCCTAATACTCAGGTTTCCAGGACAGGTGTGCCACCTCAGGAGAGGGCTAGTATTAGTGTGGGTCCCCTGCCCACTCTTCTAGGTCTGGAAGTCACTCACAGGAGTGTGTTTGTGGTGCCAGTTGAAAGAGCCTCCTGAATTGTGGCTTTTTGACCCCTTAAGAAGATGCCTTTCTTTAAAAACTTGGCTTTAATGAGCTCTGTCTTCAGACGTCCTTACATAGAGATGTCCTGCCTGGATAGTTGAAACTAATGCCGTTTTCATTGCATTTTTCTGTTGCTCTTCCTCCAGGATCTTCTACGTCTCTCATGATTCCCAAGACTTGAAGATCTTCAGCTATATCGCTCGAGATGGTGCCAGCAATATCTTCAGGTGTAACGTCTTTAAATCCAAGAAGAAGGTAAAGGGAAAGTCATTGGTCATCTGTTATATTCCTCTGGTGGATCCAGAGCATCTCCGACATTGGCCCATCTCCGCCTTGAAGGTTTGGAGATGACTGTTGTAAGGCCAGGCACGGGAGAACTAGCTTGGTTGTCTATCATTGCTCCTGTATAATGAAATTCCGTTTTGGCTTCATCTGAACTTCGTACTTCGTTACATACTGATAATTGGAGGGGGTTTGGCTATTGGGTAAGTGTTCTGGACAGGAGCTGGGTAGACAGCACCGGGAGTGATGCTCACCTCAGCCTGTGGTAGAAAGAAAGCATTGCCATTACTAAGGTGATCCTTCATCATAAATTTGTGACTTGATCAGTGGGCCACAAAATATGGCACATAGAATCTAGTTTAGACTTAGTTTGTGATATTGGTTGTCCTGGGTGATTATTTTGGTATGACAACCTTGATACAGAAATAAATGCAACTTTTACAATTTTGTAGAGGCTTCTTTCTGTCATACCTCCAGGAGTCTGACACACAAAACTAGGGTTTTAGAAACCTGGGGGTTAGGAAAATAGGACCTAGCCCCACCTCTCCATTGAAACCCTAAGTGATTTGATGCAGGTCTCAGCTTCCTTGTCTATAAAAATAAGGAGAATAGTCAAAAACAGCCTTTCCTAAAATCTATTCTGGAAAACATTTATCATCCAATATATTCCTTGTTATTTATAAAACTATCTGATTTAAATTGCCAAGAAGTCCTGAAGTTAAAGAACCCCCTTTAACTTTGTTTAACCTAGTACTTTGTAAACTGATTTGGCCAGGGAACCACATTTTTTCTGTGTAATGTATGTTCATATCCTGGGAACTATTTTTCTTCAGAAAATATTTTGGAAAACACTGTTTATGCCTCTAAGGGCCCTAATAGGTCTACTAGAAACAAACTACTAGGCCTGGCTTCCTAGGGAGGACTTCTAGCATCCTTCCTGCCTATTTCTCCTTTGAACAGTATGTGACATCTTACGTCCTAAGGCCTCTGTAATAGATTCGTAAGTACCTTGTCAAGTGGGGATAATAAGAATAACACAATGCAGAACAGGATCAAGATTCATTGATGTGTCCCGAACCCCATCCTAGCTCCACAAAGAGAGCCATGCTTCGCGGACTTAGCCTCTTCCTATAAGGACATTTGCGTCCTTACCCACCCTGCTCCCAGGCTTTTAAAATGCACATCATGGAATTGGATACAAAGTGCTAGAGCTGGAAAGTGGGAGGGAAATTAAAGGAAAGTTGCCAGACTTCACTTTCTATATAATAGTGCAGTTGAGAGAAAAAAAATACTTATATATAAATGAGGCTAAATTGAGCTGCACATTACAGAACTGACGGGAAGGAGGAGTAGGAAGAAGGAGAGAGAAAGAACAGCTGTAGGAGCTGGGGATGAGAGAGTGTAGGGTCTTGGAGATTGAAAAGCTCTTATGCAGCTTTGAGGTATGGGGGACCTGGGGAGGAGAGACAGGAAATACAGAGTTCTTTTGAGAGTTATGAATTAGATCATCTGTAATGTTCTTTGACAAATGCATCTAAAGACTGAAGTCCCTTCTAATTCATTTTGAGTGTTTGACTGTGTTTCTGACTTTAGTTTTGTACATAAACTGGACCACATGGACCTTGGGATTTATTAAAGTTACAAATAACACATTATCATTTACCAAGTGCTACAATAGTTATTTTATCCTTATAGTACATATGTGAAAAACATAAGACGGGTAATTTTCCCCCTTATTTTTACAGATGAGAAAATAGAGGCTCAGGGGGATTAAATAACTTGCCCAAGTTCTGATGACTAGGCACTGCCTAGAACCGGGGAGACACACAGAATAAAAGAATCTTGAGCAAGAAACCTAGATAAAGGAGATCGTTATATTTTCCTTGCCATGGATCTAATGTAGCAATACAAACATTAGTAGGGGCAATCCCATTCCTCTGCCAAGACCTGAGCCTAAGAGCAATGGCTGCTTGGAACTTTGATCTCGAAGTGAGGCACAGAGTTGCTTTCTCATTAGGAGTAATTATCTGGTTCCCTATCCTATCAGATTTTTCCTATGTCTCATAGCTCTCGGAGCTAATTCTGATCTCTGGCTCTTCTATTCTCTGCATCCCTTTCACCCTAACCTACTGAGACTGTAGCTCTTTGTCGGGTGGGTTCTCAGGCTTTTCAGGCGTGTGGCCATGCAGCTGAGGGAAATTCCCATTCAGCCTGGCCTGTGAGCCCTGGGGCTGCTGAACTGTAGGTGGGGAGGCCAGTTTCCAAGCCAGGAAAGATAAGCGAATTGTTCACAAAGGAAGCCAAATTGGGGAGAGTCTGGGGGGGGGGGGGGACACGCCTTGCCATCCTGGTTAGCTTTCCAACATGCTGATTTACTTTTTCGTAAATCACTTCTGGTCTTGAGAGAGAATCTGTTAGTTTGGGAAGGAGTTTTAACTGGAAAATCATAGGAATGCTTAAGAGGTAAGAGGGAAAGGAATATAGACTCTGAGGACACGTGTCTTGAAGAGATGTTTCCAGGTTGTGGGAAGTCCACGAGGAGACCTCCTGAGTGGAAGCCAGCAGACCTGGGTGTTCTCCGGGGCCCTGGTATTGATCACAGTGTAGAGAAACCTCATCTGAGCTCCTGGCTATGTTGGAGCTTTGGTTGTTGCTGGTTCACATCATGTCCTGTCCCCTGTGTGCACAGCCATGGTGTGTTTCTCATGACAGGCCTCGCATACTGGTGTTGTCCTTACCCTACAGCTCATCATGGGGTAGGGGGTTGCCTCTCCTGTTGGTCAAGAGTAGGGGTCTGCAATCTCACCTTTCCTGGTACAGGGCCCCCCTGTCGCTTGCTCCCTGCAGTTGCTATTCTACACCTGTCCATCTTCCTTTCATCATACACAAGGGTTCCCACCTTGAGGATCTTAACCTTGAGCTGATTCTTTTCAATTAGGCTTTCACCAGAAGCTAGATCGCAGAATTTGCAGGGATATAATGTGGTGCCTGTTATTCTTCTACTACGCTAGATTATCTAAGTTCTAGCCTTATATTAAGTTGAATAATAATATCTAACTTGTTTTGGTTACTTGCTGTGTGACTCTTGTAAGCTCTATCTATGAATTGTCTTATTTCATTCCCACAGCCACCCTGCGAGGTAGGTACTATTGTGCTCTTCATTTTGTAGATGAGAAAATGGACACTGAAGGCACATAAATTAGGTAAGGACTCATAAATAGTTGAGTCAGAACTGAACTGAACCCAGAAAGTCTGTCTCTGGAGCTCACATTCTTAACTACTCAATTATACTATTGTCCGTGGCTCATTAGGAAGTTGTGTAACTAAGGAGTGGTTTTGTTTTCCAAGACCAGTTTCTAACTGTGTTCTACTGTAATCATGTGGGTATGAAGAGCTTCTTAACTTTGAATGGACCACATCACTTTGACATGGGCTTTCCTTTATCTTCCTAGTATCCTTGTATGGTCAACATTGACTCCATTTTATAGTTGTGGAAAGAAAGGGCCCAGGGAAGTAAAGTACCCTTGGTCACGTAATGAATCAGTGATGCCACTAAGATTAAAACTGGGCTTCCTACTTCCCAGTCCAGAATTTCAGCCACTAAGACCTGTTACGAGAAACTTACATAAAAGAAACATCAGCCTTTCTGGACTTGAGTTTCTCCAGCCATCGAATCATGGAAGGCATCTCAGGAATGCGGATTGTTATATGTGAAGTGATCTGATCTTTCAGGAACAAATTCTCCATGACTGGGAAGGATTGCCAGGAGTGTGGTGGAGGAGTCCTAGCACTCTTGAGACTCATGCTAGAGGCAGGGAAGTGAGTGGGTCTTTTCCTAGCTAAGAACATCCATTAGAGACACTCCCTAATAGCATAGGCATTCCTCATTTCCTCTCCTTGGGGGATATAATGATACTATTCATTTGCAAGGCCTTTTGCCTCTTGAGAAGCCTCTTGCATGGTCTTTTGACCTCTCCTGTGGAGTGGATGTCACCCTCCTGTCATTTTCTCCTAGCCCCAGGAGGATGTGGCTGTCTGCCTTGATTAAGAGTGACTGTACTTATTAGCGCATCCGTGCATGAAGTGTTGGTGATTAACAGGAGCCGCAGGAATCTCCCTATTATCTTCACGGGCAGCTCCTTGAAATAATTTTGCCTGCAATCACACCCCAATTGGTTTGGGTTAGGAAAAGTCATTTCCTCCTATAATGCTGTCACATTAAATTGGGGGCCACAGCTGTGAAGTTTAACTGTCCTTTAGAGTTTGCAGTGGATTCTGAATGATGATGACAGCCATATGCTAACGCATGAGTCACTTGCTTGGTCAAGCTTGAAAGGTGAAAGATTGGAAAGTCCTAAATTGAGCCATATATATATATATATATATATATATATAGCTTTGGGTTGGGTCTGGAAGGCAAAATATAGAAATCATTGGTCTCAGAACTCATCTAGCCCAAATCTCTCTCTTTATGGATGAGGAGATCAATACTTACAAAGGTATATTAACTTGTGCATGGTCACTCATCTGGTTACTGACAGCACTGAGGTTATAACTCATCCTTCTTTCCTCTATGGTACTATGTTTCATGGACTGGCAGAGTAGTAGGAAAAAACTAGCAGTCTCTTGGAAACTTTACAGTGCAGTATATGCTGTCAGTGTTGAAAGCCACACCTGCTTTGAAACTAAACTTTCCTCATACTGAGCAATATTCTGGTGTCCAAAGTATTGCCTCAATCAAATTATATAATCAAGGCCACTAAATAACCCTATTGGGCACAAACCTAACCTAACATTTCAGAGCCTCAGTACCTTGGATCTTCCTGTATGTGGAAGTCCAAATATAAATATTTTCATGCTTTAGCACTGTAAATTCCATAGATTGCAATCATTTGATACATATGAGCTAAATATTCTATTAAGGTTCAGAAAAACCCACATTAAAGAAAGATGACATTCAGTTCTATTTTTGT